TTGTTATTACTATTATTATTGTTGTTTTTGTTTTTTTAATGATTATTTTAGTGCTTTTATTGATTATTTTAATTTTTATTTCATTATTATTATACTTTATTTCATCATACAGTAAACTGTATATAGTAAAAATTATGGATAGTAAAAACTTTTTTTACTTTATTTAATTTAATTCAGAAATCCAACATGCACATTTGAATAATTATATATATTAATAAAATGTTACATATATATATATATATATACATACATACACATACATATATATATATATATACATATATAATATAACACCTTACTGTTAAATAACTACTAGTAAGAGTCTACTTAAGATATTAAAAGTAAAAGTCCTCAATGCATTTAAATCAATTTAAAAATTACAACTAATTAGGGACTGTTCTTTATGTATTAGAGGAGGGGGGAGCTGAAAGCACAGATATTTTACCCTGAGCCTCCCTCAGTGAAGGGAGGAAAATCCATGACCCTCCACCACAGATCAGTTATCAGATTTTTTTAAATGTACCCTTTGATGTTTGAAAGTTAAAAGTTAAAAGTTGAAGTCAAAATCTTGAAGCTGACAAAGCCTCGGTTTTTAACTCTTGATGTGCTGCTGGTCAGTTCATGCAAACAGTTTAGTTTGAGCCAAACTTTAAATGAGACGTAGAACAAAGTGATTTCTGATGAAATATCACTGTTTTAAGCTCAGATCTGGTCATGTTTTTTTTTCTGATTAAAGCATGTGTGTCCAAGGATGGTCGGAAATTTAAAAAAATCCAACAATATTTTCTGTTTTTACAGTTTCTGGCTGATAAATGATGTCAATTTGTAAGAAGAAAGAAAACAGGCCTTCCAAACTCACTGGATTGGCTTGTTCGGTCTGTTTAGAAGGCAGGAAAATACAAAATACAACCATTTAGATTTGTAAATTGAACATAAGCCCCTCCCCAAAAATAACTAATAATGATTTATTAATAGCTCCGAATAATGAGCTCCACCTCAGCCAGCAACAACAGTAAAACCCTGCTTTTATATTATTGGGTCAGAATAATCTAATGAGATCAGCTGTAACAGTCAGACACTTACAGGGGACAGTTTTAAAATACATGATTACATACTTGTACTAAAGTGAACAAAAGAGGTGCAACTCAACCACGAGGGCAGTGCAGCAGCAGCAGCAGGACAGTCTGCAGGTAACTTGTAATTCATCTTCACAAAAGTCAGCAGCTGCAAACTTCTTTTAATTTAATGTCTGAATAATTACATTCATGAGGCCAATGTGAAGTATATAGTGTATATTCTGATTCTTTTTAATTCCGTTAAATTTTCACTGAATTAAAAAATCAATAAAAATCTCCTCCCCTCCCCTCATTCTGTTATTCCCATACAGGCGGGAGACTGTGAAGTGATTTCAAATTAATGAATGCAGTTAACATTTTACTGAACTTTTTAATTTTATTTGCAACAGAGTATTTTCACAGTGTGGACTCTTAGTCTTTATTTAATCTAAAAAAATATCTGTTTACTGTTTCACAACTTTTAAATATTCAAAGTCAGACAAAAAAGTCAATAATGATCTTTTATTTTTTTAATTTATTGGTCTAAAATTACTCAAATTCAAATAAATACTATGTCTAAAAATGCTGAAACCAGCCAATGAAATATTCACCACGTATTTAACGGTAAAATTCTTCATATTTGCAGAACAAAATCAAGATGTGTGGGGTTTTTTTTAAATAACTTGTGGTAATATTTCTGTCCTGCATCAGCAGCTCAGCACCAATCAGTCAGTGTAGACAAGGAGGAGGAGGAGGAGTGGTGAAGTCAGGGTCAGTCTGAGGAGTACAATGCTCCTCCACACACCACAGCACATACAGTGTGAGGGAACATGAGCCTCTAAATGGCCTTATTCTGCATGAGTGTACGGCTGACTGTGTGACTGTGGCTGATGTGTGTGTGTAACGCTGCTGCAGGCGTTGACACAAAGCCAACGACTGAGGAGACGGTTTCTCTTGCTGGACCTCAGATGGTTTGATGACAGCTGAGTGACGCTCAGGATTAACGACACTGTGACCTCAGACTCACAGCCAGGATTCATTTTCTCACTGCGGTTACGTCTCATCACAGTGGCCTCATTTATTTCTTCTTCTACTGACACACAGAAAGAGACGTCAGATGTGAGAGTCATGGTCAAGTGTTCAGATCCTTCAGCTTCACTTAAAGGAGAAGTTACACAAGGTGAAGGAGGACTAATGTAAATGTAGAAAAAGTTGTGTGAAGCCTTTTGTACGGTGGCCCAGAGAGCTCAACACACCAAAACTTAAAGGTTCTGTTTAGCCCCATTTCCACCAAGCAGTCCGGTTCAGTTCGGTTCGGTTCGGTTCAGGTTGTTTCCACCATAGACATATATACGTAGACACCGCATCGAGCGCTGAGCCGTACGTCAACCTCGCCGCCATATTGGATGTGGCAAGGCTGAGCTGTAAACTAATACAAGTGAATGGACTTAATTTCATAAAGCGCCTTTCTACAAAGAAATTTATGTTAATGCCTCTCGTTTATTCATTCACACACACACTAATATACTTGGGAAACAGTTAGGCACCAAAAACAATGTATTTGATCTTCTCAGATGGCTAAGATAAGAACTTTATTGATCCCACACAGGAGTAATTCACCTTACATCAGCTATAGAGAACAACACAGTAGCCTATACATATATATATATATATATATATATGTAGCCAGGAAGTTTCCACTCTGAGAGAAGCGTTGGAAACACAGGCAAGCGTGATCGAAGACCAGGGAACAGCTGCGGCTCTGGATCGCCGGATGACGGACTTGGTGAGGTGCCATTGCCATGGATCGCCCGGCCGGGCCCGTGGGGCTGGTGCTGGTGCTCGGGATCGCAGGAGAGGGAAGCGCCGGAGTCGGCGGAGCCTGCTCGGCAGTCACTGGGGGTGACAGCGTGCCCCCAACTCCTCTCCCCAGCATGGAGTACCGTTCTGAAGGAAGGGAAGCGCAAGCCTCAGAAGCCCCAAAAGTGTAATTGTGTAGGATATCTGAGTCACCAAACAGCTTAATTTCAGCGCTTGCAAATCCTGCCACGAGTAGGGTTAGGTTCACCTCAAGGCTTTGGAACCTTTGGCGTTTTAGTTTATATGCAAATATTTGCTATTTTGTATCTGTCTGTCCTTTTACTATGTCTTGTATTTTTATTGTAGGCCTACTATACTATACACACACACACACACACACACACACACGTGTGTGTATATATATATATATATATATACATATAGCCTATACTGTGCATTGTTTTTCGGCACTACCTTGTTCTCTATAGCTGATGTAAGGTGCATTGCTCCTGTGTGGGATCAATAAAGTTCTTATCTTAGCCATCTGAGAAGATCAAATACATTGTTTTTGGTGCCTAACTGTTTCCCAAGTATATTAGTGTGTGTGTGAATGAATAAACGAGAGGCATTAACATAAATTTCTTTGTAGAAAGGCGCTTTATGAAATTAAGTCCATTCACTTGTATTAGTTTACAGCGCAGCCTTGCCACATCCAATATGGCGGCGACGTTGACGTACGGCTCAGCGCTCGATGCGGTGTCTACGTATATATGTCTATGGTTTCCACAGTGTAAAGTTGTGGATGGTCCCAACAGAAGCGTTCCTTAGCGTCCCCATGTTTGGTCCCCCCTCTGTTGGGGTACCTAGCACACAGATCTGGTACTAAAAGGTGGAGCTAGAAACCCTGCAGTCTGATTGGTCAGTAGAGGACGCTCACTCTGGTTTTATGTAACCTCTGTTCATACATCAGTAAACTACAACTATAAAATGAAAGAGAAAAAAATAACTTCATTCACTGGGCCGACTGCCGGCAACTTTTAAGGTGGAACGTTAACTTGTAATGTTACTCAATGCATGAGTTGATGACGTGAATCCATCAGCACACCTTAAATTTCACTGTGACAACTTTGACCATCACTTTAGTTTTTATATGACACACACTTTTAGTAATGACTTTAAAAATATAGATTAATTTGGAGCGGATTATGTGAAGGTCATATATTCTAATCCTCACTTCCTGTGGGCTACAGCAACACTAAACCCCTGAGCTTGCCTGAGAAGGACTAAATGCACAAAGCTGCTATTTTTAAATATCCCATGGAGAGAGACTCTCACTGCAGCCTGTTCTATTTTGTTGTGAAAATGTGGGCGTGCAGCCTCGTTCTGTGGACGATAAACCAGGTGCAGACTTCCATCTGTGTCACCGCTGATGAGGAAATACAGCGAGTGCTGGACGGAGCAGTGAGTGACAACAACCCCGCCCACATTTAAGAGGACTGTCTGAACACACCGAGGGTCTAGGTACCATGTCTGAAGGCTTACTGCTAGTTCCACAGGGACTGGACTGAAAGGGTTTGGTGGAAACGAGGCTTAAGTGACCCTCATGAAAATACTTTACACTAATGACTAATAGCTTATTTCTGTATCATGTTGAATATCATTTCTGGCATACAACATTCAAGTAAAGTTTTAATAGGCTACAGTAACTTTTACATAAGACAAAGCTTTTTTTTAGTTAGCTGTTAGGATAAAAAAAAAAAAAAACATCACGTCTGTATTGCAATAAACTGGTTAATTAAATCAGTGAGGTCTGCACCCCAAACAGACTCTGGAAGTCTGCAGAAAGTCTGATTTAGGCTCTTGTGGACTGGATGAATTGTGGATTTGGAGCACTAAGCACTCCCAGAAACACACCCAAAAGTCCATGAGTATTAAAGTGTGGTGTAGTCTGGACATTTGGATTCAGGCTTACTGTTGGCAAAGTCACACCATTTGTCATAATACTTGAGTTAGGATCCTGTTAGCTGGTGAAGTTTTGGCAAGTTAACCAACACACTATCAACTGGGACGTACTGATAGCGAGAACATTAGTGAGCAAGAAGAATTTTTGGCAGTTTGTCAACAAAAAAGTCAAAGACAAAAGAAGTTTGTTCAATAATTTATGAAAAGAATTCAAATATAAACATCCCAGAAATATCTTGCACTACCTGCCTGTGTATGGAAAACTAGAGCCACAATAGACATGTGTCCAGGTCTGTAAAATACAACCATTTGGTAGGTAAAGCATACTTTCAGTTAGTACTAAGCTCCACAGATCATTTTAAAAACATAGTCCACCAGTTCAACTCCATATTAGATAAAGACATGTCCACTCCCAATAAAGTTTAGTGTTCAGACAGTTTGTCACTGTCCCACTGTCTCGTCTACCACGACTGCTGTTTGCTTAAAACCAGGTCATTTCTCATTAAACAGGAAGCTCAGGTTGACTGACAGGCTCTGACTCAAGGTGCACACAAATAAATTCTGTCGTACCACAAAGATCTGACATCAGTGATTAAAATCAAACACGTACCCAAATCTCTGAACAGACCACAAAGCTATGATCAAAAATTAAAAACATTTATTAAAAACTAGAAGTTTCTCCACAGATTGAGATCTAAAATAAAGTGCAAGTGAAATGTCCACTGATAAAATTTAAAGCTGACTTCAAGGATTGTTGAGCAGAGGAGCCGCCATGTTGGTGATGATGGACGACTTCAGCTGAGGGATGAGGCTGATCTTCATCAGCTTGCTGCTCGAGTACTTGTTCCTGACGGCCTGCAGAGGAACAAGCTCACTTTAGTTTGCGCTCAACACAACATCTTAACATGTTTCCTGTCCGTCGACTCACCTGGAACTTTGTCTTCCCCCCGTTTACAGTCACCACATTTTTGGCGATGTGCTGCATGATGGGCTTCAGGTGGGCCGCGTCGTAAGTGGAGTAGTGCTGCTGAGTGGGAGACTGAAACGAGACGGCCAATTAAAGAGCAGCAAAGAGAAACATTACACACATTGAACACGTTAAGTCTACATGTTTGTTTAACTCCAGCAAACTCACCCACGGCAGCCCGTCGACCAGCAGCTGGGAGAGACACAGCGCAGCAGCAGCGACCTCAGAGGGTCGATAGTGCACCATGTCGTAGTCAAGGAGGGTCAGCTCCATCAGATACTTGGCCAGCGTGTGTTTCTCTACGTCAGACTGAGACACAGACAACATGGAGGCCACTGACAACTCTGGTGGACACTTCACACATTTTACTAATCTCTTCTAGTCAAAGAATGGAGTTTAAACCTGCTGTCTGCACACAGTCTGTTCACGGCAACTGAAGTCTACATATTTAAAGTTCAAGCTAAAGACTGATCAGCTTAATACTGCAGGATAAGAAAACCTGCAGCTGTTCATGTAACCAGGTCACACTGAGAACTGATGGAGCTCCACATCCTTGATCATTAAATTATATATCGTGGTAAATTCATGGCTGAACTCACATTCGCCACCTTGGAGGCTCGTCTCAGGAAGTGTAGTGGAAGAGGACGTCCCAGCTGAAAGTTGAGCGTCCTCAGAACCAGCTGCTCCATCTCCAGAATCTGAGACTTTGTGAAAGCGTTGTCTGTGATGTAGGCGAAGTCTCCGACCTCTGGAGCGTACATCTCTTCATATTTACAGGCCACCAGCATGGCGGTCACACCAACCAGCTGCAGCTTCCTGCGAGAGACCGGCTGGACCTGCAGCACGGCGGGGAAACGTTTTCACACAGCTCACAAACACAGAGAGAGAAAAGAGCGTTGAGACGGTCGTTACCTGGAGGAAACGATCCAGGATGGCCACTGTGAGGTACAGAGTCTCCTGCAGCAGCTGGAACCTGGAGTGAACCTGGACCAGCCAGTCCACCAGAAGAGCTCGCATGCGTTCAGTGATCTCATAACCCTGCATGTAGTTGGCTCGCACAGTCTGCTGCGCCTGAGGAGACAGACGTTGATGTCACACAGAGCAGTGCAGGGTGGGGGCAGAGAGTTGGGCAGATGGAGGGAATAAATTACCTCCAGGACGTGCAGATATTTGTAGATATCTTTGACGTATTCTGAGCAGAGCTGCGGCAGGTCTGAGTCCTGCTCGTCCACGTCCTGCACAGTGAGCAGCACCTCAGAGAACGCCTGGCACAGCTCCTCCTCCTCCTCCTCCTTCATGGACACGTCAGCTGACTCCTCTGACACTGGGGGGAGGGGATCTGCAGGTGCTGCGACCTGGACTGATGGAGGCACCACAGGTTTCACTTTCTGGGCACAAGATGGTTTGGCTTTGGTCGCTCCGGTCCTCTGAGGAAACAAGTTTAATGCAGATTGATTCAGAAATGAGGTTCTGAGTTGTCGCTGTTGTAGAACTATAGTCCGACTGTAAAAATTGTGTAGCTTATACAAAGAGTACAGAAAATATTTTCACATTTGTCAGTTAAAATGTGCATCATACGTCTGCAGCCTGACACCTTTTCCTTTAAACTGAGACCAACCTCAATAGAAGGAGGTCGTCTTGATTCTGCCTACGGATTCTACATCCAAAGGGATGTGTCTCAGAGAAACAGTAAACTAAACAGTGGGTGGAGTGGACTGATTTGTTTGCCTTCACGCCACACCGCAAAGTTAAAGTAACAATATATTCAAAAATATCCAACTTCACAGGAACTTAAATCTTTGATAACTAAATCCAAACGGATCCTTGTCTGTTTGTGTTGAATCTTCCAGGTGAGCGGCTCTTTAACGAGCGTCCAGCAAAAACTCTTGAACAAACTTCTCCTGTTGGAGACAAGATGCATTTTATTTCAGTGAATTAAACCCAGAGCTCCTTCTGTCAACCAGTGGCATGGAGAAAGTTTTAAAAGTCTGCCTGTTCGGTTTCAGTTGTTGTGTCATCTTTTGTTATCAAAATTGAAAACTAAATAAAATCTCTTGAAGAAAAAAAAAAATAAATCCAGCTGCAGAGTAGACACCTTGTGGTTAAACATATTAATGAATGCACCTTTAGACCTATCAGTAATGTTGACAGGATAATTTTATTTGTTGGGCAGCGTTACCTTCATTATAAGGCTCAAATATGTTTTGCAGCTCCAGACAGATTTTTTTTTTTTTTTTTTTGGCCAAAAATGTCTCTTGTAATATCAGAGGCTGCTGATCCCTGCTGTAAAGTGAATCAACCTGTCCTGCCCTCAGATGAGAGGCTGTAGGTGTCAGAGAGTAAAACATCAGTGAGCTATAAACTGAAATGTGAGCCGACATTAAAACCTTTAAGTGTGTCATTAATGATTCATGTTGAGAGGAAACTGAGCTGATGTGATTCACAGCTCTGAGAACAAGTGAAACAACATGAACCACAGCTGAAGGAGTAATAAGAGCACATGCAGAGCAGCTGTTGAAGCACACAGTGATGTTCCTCCATCATCATGTTACCTTGGTGTTGACTGCTGCTCCAGGACGGTTGGTAATCTCTCCGAGAGCAGCTCTCCTCACACCTGCGGTGGCTTTAACCATCTTCAGCGGGTTGTCTGCGGCCGGGAGCCGCTGAAACACACACGGACACTAAAGTCAGACACTCGGCACAAACTCCACGAATGTTTCCTGCTGGAAAAAGTCAGCTAACAAACATGAGAACAACACAGGAGAACAACGAGCCGAGCAGGGAGCACACACAGCTCATGTTAGCTAACCATGCTAACTGAGCTAGCTTACAGTTTACTCACCGCAGCACGAGCTTCCGCCACAGACGTCATGTTTACCGTCAACAGACACGAGACCGAACCGTGACTTAAAGAAACGACACGGTGATTTATGTTCAGCTCAGACCGACACGAGTTACCGACGAGATCCGTGGACACCGATTTCTGCAGGTAAACAACATGGAGACCTGCAGCTTTCAAATAGCGCTCCGTCAAATCTGATTGGATACAGCTTCGGGAGNAGATCCGTGGACACCGATTTCTGCAGGTAAACAACATGGAGACCTGCAGCTTTCAAATAGCGCTCCGTCAAATCTGATTGGATACAGCTTCGGGAGAACGCTTCTGATTGGCTGAAAAACCAATGAGGTCAGAGGTATGGAAATTGAATTTAAAATGATGAAAAATAAAAATATTTACTTATGATGTATTTATTTATTTATAAATGTAATCAAGTTATTAAATAAACAGATAAATAAATAAAAATAATGAAATTCTCATGAACATTTTTCAAAAGAAAAATATGCTTTATTTAAATTTAGATAAACAACAAAGGAAATAGAGGACTTCTCAAGCACAACTGTGAAGTGAGTATTTACATTTTATGCTGCTGGTACTATCACTTTTGAAGCCAGGGGAGTAAATACAGACTGTGCAGGGAGGGCAGTTGCACTGGGGCCCATGAGGTGGCCCTCTTACAATATGCATGACAGAAAACAGGGACTTGTGGGTAATTCAGATTGCCAGCTTAGAAATGTATGGGTTTAAAAAAAACTCAGTAAAATAAAAACTGGTGCCATTTGCTGGACTACATGCCTTTCAAAAGGCAAACCATCCCCATCATGTTTTTTTTTTTTTTTTTTTTTGCGTTTTTGTAGAATCATCAGGAGCAATCTGTAACAAAACGTGTTATAAAAATATATACAGTACAGGCCAAAGGTTTGGACACACCTTCTCATTCAATGCGTTTTCTTTATTTTCATGACTATTTACATTGTAGATTCTCACTGAAGGCATCAAAACTATGAATGAACACATGTGGAGTTATGTACTTAACAAAAAAAGGTGAAATAACTGAAAACATGTTTTATATTCTAGTTTCTTCAAAATAGCCACCCTTTGCTCTGATTACTGCTTTGCACACTCTTGGCATTCTCTCCATGAGCTTCAAGAGGTAGTCACCTGAAATGGTTT